GGCGATGCACGCGGAGCTGCTGTTGGATGCGCTGGGGGAGCCGCTCTTCCCGAAGGATCCCGCGCGGCAGGCGCGGCACGCCGAGGCCGTCGCGAATTACGGCCGATGGGCCCCCAATCCCCTCACCGAGGACCTCCGCAACCCGCGGCCGCACGACCCCCTCCCACGCCCTCTCAAACAACGCGCCGGGCGGGAGGAGGTGTGGCTGGACGCGAAACTCCTCCTCCGCGCGGATGAGATGCGTGGGGAGGGCGAGCGCATCCTCGCCGCGCACGACGTCATCAACTACCACTCCGGCGACTTCCTCGAGGTGAACCCGCCGCCGGAGTTGCTGGAGGAGGCGGTGGTGCTGTTGCGGGAGTGGCAGGTCTCCGTCGCGCGCAGCCCGTACCCTGGGCTGTTCGTGGTGGTTCAGATGGGGGAGAGCTACCGGGCGACGACGATCACGCCGGTGCCGCGGGCCTACGGCGTGCGCGGCGGCAACGCCATCGCCCGCAGCGTGGCGCAGGCGATCCAGCTGTGCGCCCTGCACGCCCTCGACGTCCTGTGCGCGCTCGGCCTCCCGCTCTTCCTCGACCCGGCGAAGCAAACCCAATTCCTCCGGCGGCGCCGGGTGCTGCGGATGATCACGCCGGAGGGGATGCGCCGCGCCGCCGTGCGGCCGAAGGCCGCCGCGTATATGCTAAAACCCACCTGGGTTCCCAACACGACGAGTGAGTTGGCGGGGAGTGGGTGGGATGGCGGCGGTCGCGCGACCGCCACGCGGGCGGATTCGCCGCCCCCGCAATACTACGCGATGCCGCTGCCAGGGTACCTCATGGAAGCCGGCGCGGTGCGGCTGCCCCCGCCGAGCGACGACACCCTCTCCATCCTGCAACTCCGCACCCCGGAGGACTGCGACGTCTTCGGCGAGGGCGCCCCCGAGGAGGAGGTGCAGGCCCTCGGCAACGCCGCGAAGGTCTGCGTGCAGAACTACCTGCGTGAGCAGCTCGAGCTGGATCGGCAGCAGCGCACGTTGGGGAATGACGGGGACGCACACGACGCCGCAGGGGAGGGGAAGGAGGAGGGGGGCGATCCCACCGAGGTCCTCTCCGCGCACGAGCGCGAGGAGCTGGAAAAGCTCTCGAAATGGGCCAAGGGCTTCCCGCCCAACCTCAACGCCTCGTTCTACGTCACGGGGTATGCCCGGCAGGTGAGCGTGTACAACATCGCCTACCTCCGCATCCCGGCCCCGCCAATTCGACGGGTGGGATGCGCAGCGCCCGCCGAGGCAAAGCCCCTCGTCGTCGCCCAACCCCTCCGGGGGAAAAAAGGGACCCCCAAACCGAAGGCGACGGAAGGGAACCCCCACGCCGAGGACGACGCCCCTGCGGCGCTGTCTGGGGTCGAACCGGTGGCGGAAGCAGCACCCCCCGGGGTTCAGGCCGTTTCGCCGAACCCCAGCCCCGGTGAAGGGGGGGAACCTCATGGGGAGGCCAAACACACCGAAGTCGACCGAAAGGATGACGTCGAGGTATGGAAGGTGGGAAGCGAAGGGGGGTACCACCTCGCGGTGGGGCTGTCGTTAAAGAAGAAGGATGCCGAGCGCATGTGCTTTCTCCACGCCGCCGCCCTCCTCCATTATTACTACCGTGAGGACGTCTTGATGCACTACCGGAGCGGTCTTCCGCGCAAAGGGGGCGCCACATCGTACGAATGTATTCAGAAACTGCACAAACCCCTCATAGCGAAGGCGGTGATGGGAAAGGAAAGCAACGAACAGGAGAGCGATCAAGACGACAAGGGTGGTAGTTTGAACACGACAGGCTCCGGAACGGGGGTTCAGACGCATTCGACACCCCCAAAGCCGTTTTTGCACGGCGCTATGAAAACTTTCATGGAAAGCGGGCGAGCTTTGACGCATCCGAAGCGGCGTCCTACGTTATCATCCCTTAGTCCTTTCTAGATGGATAAACGTAAAGCGCGCCCCACAAGCCCCCGCCCCTGATGCGCTAAGGATATGCTTAGCTTTATTTATCTGGTGTATTCTCCCACATGGGATCAACGTCTTTGGATTCATTCTTTGGAGTATATGTTACAGCAGTCTATCGCGGGAGTGCCCCGAGAAGTGGTCAAACATGGAGCGCGAACGGATGTGAATTGGGTTTGATGTCTTAGCAAGCTTTATTACCTTTTTCTCTCTTTCCGAGTTTTTCCCTTTTCCCGGTGGGGGGGAGGGGGGGATATTTCGGAACTTTTTCTTCCCTCTTTTCTTGTCAAGCTGAGCGGACACATTGAAAAACATCCAACACACTGACGGAAAGCGCGCGTGTGGTAAGGTGAATTTCGTAGCCACACATTCCGAACCATTCCGTGCGGATTGTGCATTGCCGTGCGTGCATGCGGATTGGGAGCAGCAGGGCGACAAACGGAGCGGAGGGGAGGGAGCCAACCCAGTATTGCGACGATTGATCCCATTGAGGGGGATTCCGTGATGATGTCGGACGGTCTTCGGAGCTCGCGGCCGGTGGCGCCCGGCAGCGCGGTGGCCGGCGCGACGGCCTCTGGGGTTTCCTATCTTAGCCGCGCCGCCCGCCCATCGCGGAGCGGCTGTTGGATGGACCTCGTGGTTTTCGCGAGTTTTCCCGCGGTCCCGTCGCTCGCGGGGCGGCGGATACAGGAAGGGGAGGCGCTCCTCACCGCCACGCACGGCGCCGGCGACCCAATCACGCGGATGCGTCTGACGTTTGAGCTCTTCGACGACGAATGCCCGATCACCTGTGGGTATTTCCGACGGCTGTGCGCCTCGCCACCGTCCCCGGCGATCCCACCCACCACGGGCGGGAGAGGGGCGAGCGCGGATCCGTTTGCCGGCCTCCGTGTGGTGGGAAGTCCGCAAGGGGGCAGGCCGTATTATTACTACTATCAAGACCTCACGCCGTCGTACCGCGGGACGTTTTTCCACAAAATCATCCCCCGTTTCTGCGCGCAGGGCGGGGATATCACGATGCAATTGGCGCCTGGAGGGGCGAACCACTTCAACGGCGGCGGGCGCGTCGCCGGGTGGTTTCCCGACGAGTCGAAGAAACGCCGCTTCAACGAGGTCGGCCTGCTCGGGATGGCGAACAACGGGCCGAACAGCAACGGCACGCAGTTCTTTATCGCGACCTGTAGCGACCAGGAGCCGGCCCTCAACGGGCGGCACGTCTGCTTCGGCCGCGTCAAGGAGGGGTTGGAATCGTTTCTCGCCGCAGTCGCCCCGTTCGGCGATCCCGCGGGGATCCCGTCGCGGTACGTCGTCGTCCTGGATTGCGGCGAAGGCGAACCCCCGGAATCGGACGATCTCGACCCCACCCCTCGCTAGCACGCCAAGGATGGGTAGTCCTTTCCCTGTGATGAAATCGATCCAAAGTGGAGGGGGGGGGGGGGGGTTGCTATGGCAGATGGGGAATGCCCCTCTATGCGGTCAATAACGGTGGGGAAAACCGCAGTAGTGCGAAGGTGCCCATGTAAATTACCCCCTTGGAGCGAAAATCCCGCTCTCAGTGGGGTCTGGGGTTATCCAAATCACCAAGAAGCTAACATGCCTCTGAACTCACTCCAAGACGGTTGGAATGGAATGATGCCTGAAAAATGTGTTTTGATGGGTGTGATGTAAAATATATATATATAAATTAGTAACCGAAGGCAGGAAAGTTTTCGATGGCACTCTTATTTTACTTTTTTTTATTGATGGCAAGAAATGAAACCCTTTTATGAAACGGAATCGTTGCTTTATTGAGGTGGTCTTTTTCCTCATCTGCCTGCATGAAATTGTAGTATTATATATATATACACACCTAGATGTATATGTATAGATGAGTGAGCGTTATCGAGAAAAAGAAGTGACCAAATCAAAATATAGAACATTCTCTATGTTAGTGGGGGGGGGGGGGTAGTGGCATGCATGTGTGTACATTTACCCCTTCATTAAAACATTGAAGCCGGCGAAAAGGCAAGCCCAAAACGTTCACACGAAATTAATCTGTTTGAGTCTCTTTTATTTTTTTTGGCCAAAGCTATCTTCCTTTAGGTGCAAACCACGAAGAGAAGGTATATTCCTTATTTTGAAACCAATATCATATTTAAAAAATGCCGAATTATGATGACTCCTTCTGGGATAACAATGATTGGATCGTCTTCCGCTCTTCATTAAAGGTGAATCTCACGTCAACCATCATCGTCTCCTGCACATGCCTCGCCCTCTTCTCAATTGTGTTTACGTATTTGTGTTGGTCTGAAACCTTATGGATTAAACGCTTCTTTAGAATCAACCATACGTTGCTAATCCCTCCAAAGAAGAGGGGGGCCTGCCTCAGCGCGCGTGCCGATGGGGTTAATGGCGCCTCGCATCCCTCGGCGCGAGCCTCGGATGTCAGAAACGAAAGAAACGCCGCCACGGCTACCGCCGTCGATCCGACGGGGTGGTGTGGCCTCAGCCTACCCGCCCACTCCGCGCTATTTTCGCTGCCGTCGTTTCGCGATTGGATTAGTGTTGAGGAGGAGTTGCCTCGTGCGTCGATCCCGGTCCTGCCTTCCTCCTCGTCCGCGCCTTCTTCGCCTTCTTCGTCTCCTTACTCGGCCAACACGCGTGGTGGGGTGTCGGGCGCGAGAAGCCACGTCACCTCGGAGGGCTCCCTGGAGCCCGGCGCGCCGTTGGATTGCAGCCCCACGTCGTACTCCGCTGCGTCGGCCACGAGTGAGAGGAAGGGGGGCCCGTCCGGGGCGCCAAGAGGGGAACGGGGAAGCCGACGACACCGGGGAAGCGAAGCGCCCGGCGAGATCACCTCGTTGGCGCGTCAGGGCTCGACCTTGGGCGACCTTCCCGTCGAGCTCGAAGGGGGCTTCTCGCGGGATTATGTCGACCCCCAGTCCGTGCTGTACATCTTCACGTTAAAGTATTTTGCCTCGGTGATGTTTTTAGGCGGTTTGTTCGTGGTGTGGATCATCGTCCTTGCGGTCCACGCGAGGGCGGAGAAGGGACGCTTCTTCGACGAGGCGGCGAGCCGCAACGAGACGTGCGCGCCCGGCTCCAAAGGCTGCACCCCGCAAAACACCACCGATCTCAAGTATGAAGCCGCGTTTGAGATCACGGTGCAGGATATCCCGCCGAAGAGTTGGATGTGGTGGATCGTGGCGCTGCTCAACTGCGCTTTTTGCGCGGTTTTCACGCTGCTGACGGTGTACTTCGTTCGCGCGGTGGGGCGGTATGTCGATGTGGTGATGGCGCGGCAGATCCAACACGCACCGGGTTACCGCTTGGTGTGTATTCGTAGCGGGAATCGGAAGCAGATGACGTCGGTCGAGTCCTTTCGACGGCGGTTTCTCCACGAAGCGGTTTACTTTGAAAGCGGTAGCAACAGCCCACGGTGGCACTCATGGTTGGAGCGGATGTATCCGGATTACATCTGGCGGTGGATTCGGAACCGGGGCTGCATGTTGGATCGCTCGAATACCATCCTGTGGGAGCCGAGTAAGGTGAAGCGGGTGGTGATCACCCAGCGACCCCCTTCTGGGATGCTCACCACCATGCGAAGGGAGCGGCGGCGCGTCCGACGGTTTCAGGAGGCCGTCGTCGTCGCGCGGGAGGAGCAGCGGAAGGCCGCTCGGCGAGCGCCATCCCCTGCCGAGGCCGCCTCCCATCCCCCCCCTCCCGCCGGAGGGGAAAAGGGGGAAGAAGGGGATTTGACCTGTATCGAGGTCGTCCCCACGGAGGCGTCGAGGGAATCGAAAAAGGAGGAACCCAAGGAGTCCGGTTGCCTGCGTGTGGGTCGGAGGATTGGGCAGGCGTTGAAGCGCGGCGCTCGGGCATGCACGAAGCCCTGCCGCGCCCGCAAGGCGCATGTCAAGTACCACGAGGATCGAATCCGAAGCACCGCGTTGGAGTTAAACCGGTATATTGTAGAAGCCCCGATGCAGGAGGCGGATTTCGCCGGCTTTGTCGAATTCGAGGATAGCCGCTCCGCGCTTGAGTTTGTGAATCTCTTCCGGGCGCGCTTTGGGAGCTTCACGAGCGGCGCCGTCGTCAGCATCGCGGGACCCCATCAGGGGATCCTCATGGGGAACCTCCAAATTTGGAGAGTATCCGCCATTTTGCGTCGTATCCTAATGATGTTCTTCTTCCTCCTGCTGGTTACCTGTTATACCATTCCAATCGCTATCATCAGCTCACTGGAAAACATTGCCTATATTTTAGGCTACCACGATGAGTTTGTGAGAATTTACACCGCTTCTATGCCAAACTGGTTAATCCAAGTCATCAATTCGTACCTTCCGGTGGTTGTTTTAGCCCTGTTCAACATCCTTTTGCCCGCAATCATACGCTTCATCGTGGGAACGATGAAGCTTCTGAACCAGCGAGAATTCGAGGCGAAGTGCCTACACTTGCAATATCTTTTCATGGTACTTTCTGGTGTTGTCTTTCAGTCCGCACTGCAGGGAGGTCTCAAGGAAATCGCGTTGGTGGTAACCACAGACACCAAGAACTTTGCCAAGACGTTCTTCTTGGATTGCGTAGTCCCCAAAAGCAACGTCTACTTCTACGCGAAGGTGCTTTACTCCTTAGGTCTTTCGATATGGATCGACGCGATCGACCCCCTTCCCTTTCTGCGCGCGCTGCTGTTGCGCGGCTACGCGAAGACGCAGGGCGCCTACAACGCCATCTTCGCCCGCCGCAAGCCCGACTACGTGGATTGGTATAGCTTCGACATGACAACGCTCGCGATCGGGCTGCTCTTTCACATGGCGGTGCCGATGCTCGTGCCGGCGGTGCTGCTCTACTTCATCCTTCGCTATCTTCTCCAGCGCGCGAGGCTGTTCGATCAGCACCGCGCCGAGGTCCCGGTGGAGCGGGATTGCACCAACTTCGGGATCACCGCGTGGGTGATTCGACGGACGATGCTGCTTTACATTTTATCCGAGATCGGCGGGCTCGTCGTGCTCTACGTCAACGCGCACACCGGCGGGCTCGTGTTGTTCTGCCTGACGTTGTCGGTGTCGGTGGGGCTGACCATCTACGTCGTGTTCGCGACCCGCAACTGGACGATCTCGCTGCGGCGGATTCACGAGCTCTCAAAGGCGCGCTCCGACGCCACCGAGCTCGACGGCCACGCGGAGCGGCTTTCTAGCGTCGAGATCTCGACCAAGCAGGTCCGGGAGCTCAAATCCAGGGCGGGCTCCCCCCAATCCGAACCCCCGCAGACCCCGGTCGCTAAAGGAAACGACAAAGAAGAAGACGAGGCGAGGGAGTTTATGGGTAATCTCTCGATTGTTTGGGATCGCCCCTCCACTGAGGGCGCTGAGAAGATCCGGCACGAAGGGGCCGTGAGCATGGATTCCTACGCGACACAGAATGAACCCACCAGCCAAATTATGAATTCCGGTGTGGGGGAAGTTTGTCCGGAGTGTGAAATTCAGCTCCGAAAGCGTCTATCCCGTGGCCACGCGTGCACCTCTCGTTATAGGAAAAGCTGTCTCTATCTACCCCTGCATCTCCGCCTCCGGATAATTGACGTGGAGGCGGAGATAGAGAAGATGTACGTGGCAAAGTATGATGTGGTGCAGTATTGGAATAAACCCGACCCCGTCGCGGAGAGACCAGCTTCCGTATAAATTTATTCCCTGCGCCTGCGCACGCATGCTGAAGATGACCATCGCATGTCAAAGCAAGCGACCACGTATACATCGTGAACTCAAATTTAGCTTTAATGCATCATGTTTATTTATCAGCGCAAGCTTTGATTTAAACAGTGGTTTAGCGCTTCATAAGACTCCGCTAGTGTCACTTTCAGAGAAATTATCACTCTATCAGCTAGAGATGGTTGTTGGTTGTCGAAACTTTTTTTTTCGATTCCTTAAGATTATATAACTTTGTTATGCTTTGGATTCGCTTATTTTGTATATATACATATACAAATAAATACAAACATCTTACTCACTGTCATATTGTGGTGCTTTGTGGATATAGTCATACGACCACGTTCCTTTTTAAGCCTTAAGATGGTCTCCTTGCATGTCAGTAGAAAATACTGTGTTTTTTTTTCTTGGAGGAGAGAGAACCGCACAAATTTATATAATGCGCTCGATTTGTGAAACGGGGAAAAGGGAGAGGGAGAGGGAGGAGGTGGTGTTGTACCGGTCCGTGTGTGTCGTTGCTTTTTATCTGTTTCCGTTCCACATGGATTTACAAGGTTTTTTTCCAACAGCATTTAAAGAAGGAACCCATACACAACCGTTTCTACATCACTTGAGCTAGGGGCGGGGAAAAAAGGAGGAATAAAAATACAACATCACAGAAAAAGTGAAGCATTGTGAGGCCCGACGAAAAAAGGAAAGAGGTAAATGGCCATTATATCCGCTGGAATAGTCAACAAGCAAGGGCGGATCATCCTATCGAGGCAGTTCTCCAATGTGAGTCGCGTCCGAATCGAGGGGCTGCTCTCCGCGTTTCCTCGCCTGCTCGAGTCCGCGACGAATGCCCAGGCCACGTATATGACGGCTGGCAGTGTGAGCTACGTTTACCAACCCCTCGAGGACATGTTCCTCATCCTGATCACCACCGCCAAGAGCAACCTCGTCGAGGATCTTGAGATGCTCCACCTGATCAGCCGGGTTATCCCGGAGTACGCCCTGGAAGGGATCACCGAGAGCTCGCTGGAGAAGAGCACCTTTGAGATCTTCTTCGCCATGGACGAGATCGTCGGCGGCGGGAAGCGCGAGGACACCACGATCGAGCAGATCCACACCTACCTCGAGATGGACTCCTACGAGGAGAAGATGGTGAACGAGGCGAAGCGGCAGCAGATGGAGAACGCCCGACGGGTCACCGCGGAGCAGGCGAAGATCCTAAAGAACCGCCGCCGCGCGGCGGGGATCGGCGGCGGCGGCTTCGGCTCCGGCGATCCGAACTACGGCGGCTT